TAATTCTTATATTTATCTACTCCTCTTGTCTTAACTTTGTTTTAAGCCCCCATTGTAAATGGTAAATATCCTTATTGAAAAGTTTATTTACTATAAGCATATTTTGGATTACTTCTTGATCTTAATTAAATTTACATGGTTTGAAGGTGATAGATTGGTGACTACCATAAGTGGTCAATTTGCAAATTGTGCTTCATTATATTGTGGTGCTGATTGTATCAATTAGGATAAAGGATTGTGATTGATTCAATGAGCTGTTTTCTTCAGTATGATGAAAATGAGAATGTCTATGAGTCATTAGAGACCCATGGGCTGCAGCCCAACTATATCAGGAAGATTTAAGTAGTAATCTAAAGATTAAAAACTAAGATAACCCAACAACAATAGTAAAAATGAGAAAATGCTTAAGCAAGATACAGGGATAGACTTCCAGTTCACCAATGGCAAATAGTGGGGCAAATGAGGATAAAAAGTCTGATAGTGAATCATCAGGACACCCTGAACTCAAAGCACAGAAAGTAACAAAACTGATCAATCAGGCTCCACAGAAATATAAAACTGAAGTAATTTCCCAGATAATCATAGAGATGACAAGCAAAATGAAATTTATAATTTGTGACTCTAAAACAGAAACTGAGAGGAAAATAGATGAGCTCAGGACCATGATAGAAGCCATGAATGCCCAGCATTAGAAAGAATTGGAAACAATAAATGCCCAATACAAGAAAGAAATGGAATCCATAGGACAGATTCAAACAGATATCCAGGAGATTAAAAACTCCATTGAGAGTGTTCACAAAAGAATAAAAGTGTCCGAAGATAGAATCTCAGATATAGAAGATAAAATTGCAGTCAGTGACTGTGAAAGGAGAGGTCTCTTAAAAACAGTAGGAGATCATGAGAAATTGATACAACAACTCTTAGACGATACTAAGAAGAATGACATAAGATTGATAGGAATTCAAGAAGTAGTAGGAGAAAATGTAAATGACTTAAAAAAGCTGTTCACAGAATTAATGATAGAAAACTTCCCAAATAGAGGGGAATAATTTGACATACAGATAAGTGAGGCATATAGGACTCCACCTAGCCATGATAAAAAAAAATCTACACCTAGACATATAATAATCAAGATCCCAGAAACCCAATAGAAGAACAAAATACTACAAGCAGTAAGAGACAAGAAACAAATTACATGCAAAGGAAAGCCTATCAGAATTACAGTAGACTTTTCAATACAAACCCTTAGGTTAAGGAGAGCCTGGAATGAGGTATTTCAAGTACTAAAAGAAAACACCCTCCAACCTAGACTGATGTATCCTCCAAAACTTTCTTTTAAAATGGATGCGGAAATAAGATATTTCCATGATAAAGAACTCCTGAGAAACTTTATGAATACCAAACCAGCACTACAACGAATTCTAAACAATATCCTAAAAAAGGACAATAAGGCAACAACACCATGAGGCCCAACAGAGCAAATCAAATAGGCAAGCCAAGAAACTAAAAGGAGAAGGTGAAAAAACAACATGATAATAATAAGTTAGTACATATCGGTTATAACCATCAATATTAACGGCCTCAATTCACCAATCAAAAGAAATAGACCAGCAGAATGGATTAAGAAGCAAGATCCAATAATATGTTGTATACAAGACACGTCTAGTGTAAAAAGAAGCCCATAAACTGAACGTGAAAGGACAGAAAACTTCTTCATGTAACAGGAGCTCCCCACCCCCCAAAAAAATCAGGGCTAGCAATCTTATTCACAGACAAAGTAAGTTTCAAACTTAAACTGATTGAAAGAGACAAAGAAGCTCACTACATCCTTGTGAAGGGAACAATTCAAGAGGAAGAGATAACAAATAATTTATTTTTAATTTATTGAGTATGTCAGAAAGTATATATGCTTTTTTTTCCTGTTTTCTTCTTCTTTTTCCTTTTTCTTTTTCTTCCTCTAATGCTGGGGATTAAACTCAGCACATTGTTCTGGCTAGGCAGGTGCAGCACTATTGAGCTAAATCTCAGGCTTTACATTTCATATTTTTAAAATTTATCATATGTTAATCCTTGTCTCTACATGTTGGTCCACCAAATTGATGAGTTATTTTGGTTCTCATTTTCTTTGCATATTTATTTGAGAATTTATGAAATCTGTATATATGAGTAGTAGGAAAAGTATTAAGGCCCATCTGTCATTTTCCTCTTTCATCTCTGCTTTCTACAAACTTCCTTTTCTGTCACTAAAGCTTGCTTGGTTGGAAATTTGTTAAGATAAATGTTGTTATGTTATCAATATATCTTTGTACTTATTTTCTACTGATGACGAATATTAATTTTTAAGTAAATTTTATTATAACTATACCTAATCATTAATATCATTTAGTGTCTGATACATATTACAAATTCTCCAACTCCTTCAAAGATGATATTTATTTTTCCTCAAATTATACAAATCACCAACATTCCACACATCACTGCACTATTTTATTATACCTAAGTATATATTGTAGAAAATATGATTGTGTATATGTGTGGGGGGTATGTTTTTACATATATGTGTGCACTATTAAATGAGAAACATGGGCATGAATGTGGTAGGACTGTGCACATTTGGCATAGTGATAGTTTCTCTGGCAACCTTATGATTTCTTTAAATTACATGCTTGACTTCATAGTCATTCATTTGGGAAGAATATTACATATCTATTGGTGTTAAATTCTATCATTATGCTTATAAAAATATAATAAAAATAAGTATGAGATATAATAAAACAGAAACAGAAAAATCTGATCTTTTTGTTTTGTTTTGTTTTGTTTTTTGGTACTAGGGATTAAACTCGGGTCCTTGCGCTTGTAAGGCAAGCCACCGAACCACTGAGCTAAATCCCTGGCCCCAGAAAAATCTGATCTTGAAAATGTGAATTTTTTTAGTTGCTTTTGGATTTCAAATATAAGTATATTTTTTTCTGTGGGAAGTTTTCTTAGAAAATGTAAGTGGTACAATCAACAAGTATTTGATATTTATCAATTAATTAAACCAAGGAGTTTATAAATAATAAAATTTTGGGACAGTTTTTCAACTATAATATGTAACTTTGTTTTATTTATAATTACATTATTTCAAAAATATTATAAGAAAATGAGAAAGAACATGTTTGACGATCATATCAAACTAATGTATTTCGATTAGTCTGTTACATAAATTCTTGTTTATTTCATATCTTTTTTGCTGTCATATATATGTATTTTTGAAATTTTTATTTGGTGTCTTCATTTCTTGTTATCATGTATCTTTGCAATCTTTAATAAAAAAATGATGAACAAAAATTGAAATAATAACATCTATTTTAAAGGGCTATGCAAGTCATAACATACCCAAGGGGTGTGATAACAAATGACATGGATGGGCTCTGAGAAAATGCCAATTTCATTCCATTTGTCGAGCAATGTTATGCATAAAGTCCTGTCCTAGGATGTGTCTCTTTCCCCCATCCACTCACCCTGGGCCTTTCTTTCTCTTCCTCTGCCAACAAACATTGATGCAGAGGAAGAGAGGTGCAGGTCAGTGTTTTTCAAATTGCAGATAATCATGATTCAAGTGGGGTGCTGCTCAAGTGTTATAATGAATGAAGCAGACTGGAATGGCATGGAAGCTAACAGAACACAGTACATCAGTAGGATAAATATTGTCTTCTGAAACGTGCTTCATTGGTGTGTGTGTGTGTGTGTGTGTGTGTGTGTATACACTCATAAATGGAATATATGTGTGTATGTTTATTGGGTCTTTTTGAAAATTTTATTTTCTACTGTGGGCTGTACCCATACTATTGTGCATGCTTCTGAATGCTCAAAGTGGAGACTGTCCCCAGTCAGTGTTTCTGGTGGGGTTTTTTTTTTTCTCATTGAGTTTATTGGTACATTTTACATACACAGTACAGTTGCATTCATTATTAAGATCTTGTACCTTTACATGACAGGTCTTGGTTCTCATTTTTCCCTTTGTCCCTGCCCTCCCTTCACCCTCTCCTCCCCTCCCCATTTACAAACACTTTATTTCCATTTTTTTTCATTTTTCTCATATTTTTTCTTTTCCCTTATTACCTTTCCCCTACCCCTCCTACTTTCCCTACACCTTTATCCCTTTTCTTCCTATTTCCCATTGTCAATTACCTCATTAGGATCTTATGTACTATTATAGTTTTTCACACCAGAGAGAAACTATTCAGTATTTACACATGTGTGACTTATTTATTTCCCTTTGGCGTATATCCTCAGTATGTATCCATTTTCCTATAAATGAATCTAATTTCTCATTCTTTATGGCTGAGTAGTATTCCATTTCATAGAAAAACCACATCTTCTTTATCTAGTTTCCAACTGATGGGCAAATGGGCTGTTTCCAAGTTTTAGCTATTACAAACTGTGCTACTATAAACATCGGTGTGTATAATCACTGTGATATGATTCTTTTAATTCTTTTGGAAAGATACCCAGCAGAGGGATGGTTGGGTCAAATAGAACCTCCAGTCCCAGCTCTTTGAGGTATCTCCATATTGATTTCCACAGTTGTTGCACCAGGCTGCACTCCCACCCACAATGGAGAAGGATTCCTTTCTCCCTACAACCCCGCCAACATTTGTTATTGTTTGATTTCTTGATAGCAGCCTCTGGTGGGCTTTTAACACTCTGCCTTAAATGGGAGAGACAAGATCCCTCCATGTGGTCTCCACATGCCCACCAGATAAGGGGTGTGGTTGAAGACTCATCTGGGGAGCTAGAACATGGAACTGGGGACCTCAACTTTACCTCTGGCAAAACAGAGTGGGATTCTGGGGAAATGTCTGATCATGAAGACAGCTAACTTAGGATGAGAGCAGAAAACATGACCACACAGTTCCTGTGGTTACCAGCCTTGCTCCTCCTTGCTTGCTGTGAGTAATAAATTCCGAGACTAAAAGATAAAACCAGCACCTGACTTGGGCAGCCTCTTTGAGAAGATGTATCTTCTTTCCTTCCCTCTGCTACTACTTCTCCTGTGCTCCAGAGCCAAAGCTGGTGAGTATAAAATCCTTTCTTCCTAAATCCTTAGGATCAGCTCCTAAAACAAAGGTATTTATTCTGAATATAGCTAACTCTTGAACAGGTCCCAGAATGTCTCCTCAAGAGTCCCAAAATGAAGACCGCACTTGGGATATGCACTCCCATTCTCTTCAGGATTATAGTTGTCACTGACATTGTGGGAGGAAAAGGGAGAGTCCCAGGTATATGGGCACTTTCTATTCATCCTCTGAGCTTCAGAGCTATAGAATGCTTTGTAACCTGTCCATTCTGTAGTGCTGCTCACAGGCTAAGGGAGGGCAGGGCAGGAATCTGGACAATATGTCCTGCACAGAGATAGAGGAAAGGCTAGGCCTCGGGCAGGGAGGAAGCAGGAGAGATCCAAGGTTGAAGATGTCCAAACAGCATTCAACATAGGCTTGGCTATCTGCTTGGAGGGAGAAATGAGAATTTATGAAGGAAAGTTGTGCATGGGAAAAGCAGGTACAAGAGACCCTGAGAGAGTGATAAACAGTATTCAGGGCAAAGATGAGATTCAAGGGAAGCCTGTGTCAACCTCAACCAGACTGTGCATTCTCTGGAGACAGCATTGATGCCTGTGCTCTCTGAAGGTCCGGGGACTGTCTGTTCTAGGGGATGTCATCGGTGGCACAGAGTGCAAGCCACACTCCCGCCCCTATATGGCTTACCTAGAAATTGTCACTTCTGCGGGACACCAGGGGGCCTGTGGTGGTTTCCTGATACGTCGGAACTTTGTGCTGACAGCAGCTCACTGTGCAGGAAGGTAAGACAAGGGCCTGTTTCTCTCTAAATGGGAGAGAAATAACCAGTCTGGCAACCTGGGCTACACTCACAGTAGGCCCTGAAGAAGGGATCCTGGTACTGGGTCATCTTTCAGGAGAGAGATTGGTACTTAGATAAATTGATCTCATTAAATAGACACTTTGAGCCTCAGTCACTGTAGGCTCATCTTTCCTATGGAGGAAAAGGAAGCCCACCCCAAGTCCTCCTCTAAAAACAGCTTCTCTCACCTCCACTGCTTTCTTCTATGTCTTGCTCCAGTAGCTAGCCCTCATATAGGGATCCCTGAATTAGGAAGTACTAACCCTGTCCCCTGGGTCCTTAATGGCCTGCTCATTCTCCAGCAATCCCCAGGGGTCTCATCCTGGAAATTGTGTATGTTCCTCAGAAAACTCTTTCCTGGTTAAATCTTGAACCCCTCTGATTCCTCCTCCACCAAAAAAAAAAAATGCCAAGTAGCCACAAAAGCGGGGGATGAGTTCCATGCTCCAGTGAGGGATTCTGGCCTCTTTTCTCTCAGGAGACATCTCCAGCCATAGCTGTTTCTCCTTGTCTTTCCTTCTTCCTTACAACAGGTCTCTAACAGTCAACCTAGGAGTCCATAATAAAAAAGAGAAAGAAGACTCGTGGCAGAAACTTAAGGTTGTAAAACAATTCCCACATCCAAACTACAGTAACTATACGTTTCTCCACGACATCATGTTACTCAAGGTAACATCTTTCTTCTGTTCATCTTCCTTGGCTTCGCTTTCAGATCCCCGTTGCCCTGAAATTTGCCTGGTCTACCTCTGGATGATGCTTCCTCCCCACTCCTCCTCAGGCTTGGCTCTGCTGGGAAGCAATTTGCCCTTCCCTCCAATTGCCTCCCAGCCCATGTCCAGCACTAACAGTCCCCTGCTCCCTTCACAGTTGGAGGAGAAAGCCAACCTGACCCTGGCTGTGGGCACACTCCCACTCCCACCCCGATTCAGCTTCATCCCATCTGGAAGAATGTGCCGGGCTGCAGGCTGGGGGAGAACAGGCTTGGAGGCGCATGCCTCAGATGCCCTCCAAGAGGTGAAGCTGAGACTCATGGATCCCCAAGCCTGCAAACACTTCACAAACTTTAACCACAACTCCCAGCTGTGTGTGGGCAATCCCAGGAAGAGCAAATCTGTATTCAAGGTAATCCTGTAACAAGGTTCTCCACAAATCAGTGTTCAGGGACCAGAATTCTTCTGGCAAGAGATAGAACCAGAAGATTGTCGGCCAGTGACAGGTTTGGAATTATAGGTGTGAGGAACCTGAAAGTGTGGGCATCCTCTTGTTGCCCAGGACAGTCTCTCTGACCATCCAGTCAGCACAGGGCACACGGGGTGATATGAAAAAGGTGGGAAGGAAGGAGCAGCACCAGACCTAGATATATAACTGCATGAGGAGCCAGGGCTCATGGGTCTGAGGGTCAGAGTTTAGACCTGGTGATGACTCCAAGCTGGGACCTGTGGGCAGGGGTGGAGGACTTTCTAGTTCACCTCTTATTCCCTCTCTCTCTCTCTCTCTCTCTCTCTCTCCCTCTCTCCCCACACCTCCCCTTCACAGGGAGATTCTGGAGGCCCCCTCCTCTGTGCTGGGATAGCCCAGGGCATTGCATCCTATGCAAATCGAAATGCAAAGCCCCCTGTTGTCTTCACCCGAATCTCCCACTACCGGCCATGGATCAACAAGATCTTGAAGGAGAATTAACCTTGGAGCCTGGGCCAGTCTGAAGGGAAATCTGGAACTGGATCTGAACAGCTTCTCTCTACCACTTGCTCTAGCCTGTCTCTGGATCCTGCTGAGGTCCTGCCACATCCTTGAGACTCCAGAAGGTTGCTATGTGCAACCAGTTCACAGAACTCTCAGTAGGCTCAATAAAATACCCAGATTCCAGATTTGAGTATGATTTGTCTCCTCTCTCTGTTGTTTTCTCTCTACACACAGCAAGTCTGATTCCAAGGCCTAGCAACTGTGAGATTTGGAAAATATGTTTGAGCACATGTGTGTGTGTGTGTGTGTGTGTGTGTGTGTGTGCGCGCATGCGCGTGTGTATGTGATGTATGAAACAAAGGCAGAGAAACAGAAATGGAAATACTTGGACACAGAGACTAAGATAGAGAATACTGAAAAAGTAGAGAAAGGGTTTCCCTGGAAATACATGATCCAGCTTAAACAAGAAATTATTCCAACTCTTTCCTTACCTTAATCATCCACCCTATGCCAACTCTAATTTATCATTAGTAAGAGAATCACTGAGAACATTTTGCATTACAAACAAAATATGATATCTTTAGAATATTCCAATCTTCACCCCACTAGAAGCCAATAGCAATCTCCTTCTTTCCACCACCTTGTGTGTCAACCAAAAGGTCTCTAGGTCATTGATAATGACCCCAGCAGTTGAGGGAAGAATCATCCATTGAGGATCACTGGTTTAGAGAGATAGTGTAAAGAAAGTGGTCAGTGCCATACAAGGCACTACCTCCACCTTGATAAGAGAAGATCTACCATCCAGGGAGCTTTAATCTGAGTGCAGAGGAGTTGCTTCTCACTCATTGCAATTCAACAGATACTGGGAGCAGATGAGGTGAGCATCACAAGGTCTGCTTGAGCAACACGAAATTCTCTGCCCACACCAACAGAAAGTCCAAAGCCTAGAGCCTGCTCAGCACAAACACTTGCCAGCAGAAGGACTGGCTGGAGGGGACAAAACAGAGTAGGACAGGGACACATCCACCAGAGCCTGAGGCCAAAATATCTGTGGCTTCTGAGGGTATGGTGAATCCTTCTCACTAAGTGAATTATTTTTAAGAACTCATCTTTGAGAAATAACAGAGACATGCATGAAGATTCATGTATAAGGATTTTCATCTCAGCATTTTTAATTACAAAAAAAAAAGCAGGAATGTCAGCCATGGAATAGATTTTAAGTGGTAAATTAATACAGTTCAATATTTTGAACTCATTAATTTTTTATTCAATATAATTTAATGTCATTAAAAGCAATATAAAAATCTCCCAGCATTAGAATCTTAATTTTTTAATTTTCATGGGTGCGTAAGAAAATCTTGAAGTAATTATATCAAAATAATTGTGGTGGCTATCTCTAGGGGATAGAATTGACAACTATTTTAATTTTGTTTACATGCTAGCTTCCAAGCCTCATGTGTTCTAACTATGGGGACTCAACACCATACTGATCCATCAATGGAATAACATATACACAATCTTCAGTCCCCCATTGGTCAAGGTTTGCTCCATGGGGAGTAAGCATCCTTACACTTAGGAGTCATATCACAGAGCCCATCCAGAAAGTTACTAGAGAAGCTGAGCCTCCACAAGTTCCCATGGACTAGTGCAAAGATACGATGGTCTTTCCCAGTCAACTGATATCATGCATGGAGATTCTTCGATCTTTAGCAAAGATGATGATGGCCAGGGATTTATGATCATGGGAAGAAAAGCTGATTGAGCTGAATAAAAGTCACGGATAAAATTGTCCTTATTCAGCCCTCCCTGTGCCACCCAAATCTATTTGCACCTTCTTAGAGTCTCTGGATATTACCTCAAAGCAGGTCCATCTTAATTTCCTAATAAGAAAGCTGCAAGCCCAAACCTCCAAAGTAAATAGTAATCATAGTCCCCTGAAAAGATTTAGAAGAATGGCATCTCAAACTACAGCCTCTACTGTCAAAACTGGGTCTAAGTCCTAACTGATATCTCTCATCTCATCTCGATGTCCCATCCCATTTAGTTAGTCTGTGCTGTGTACCTGACAGGGCAACCCAGACCTCCAGCCCTAGGGCACTGAGCCTCTAGTTGCCTTGCATTTGTCAGGTTTTGACTGTTGCAAGTGTCCACTTACTGTATAATTATCACTGAGTACAAAAATACAAAGGATGCCCCCAGACAATCTCCTGAGTTCCAGTCATACTCATCTCCCATTGCAGATGCTCTAGCTTCTCATAGTAACCAAGGCCAACTATTCCAGACAGTATAGTAACACTGCTTTCGGGCCACTGAGATGAGGAGCTCAAAATAGCTGGATGATAATCCCAGCTTGCAGTTCACTGGAACATTTACCACCTTTCCTGAGGAAGGCATTTTATTCCTGGGAACTTGGACTTCTAATTTGGCAGAATTTGAAGCTGAAGAGACAGAAATACATAAATTCCACAAGTAAGAAGTCACTCTGATTGATAACTAAAACAGTCAATTCTACCTCTACCCCTTCATTCCTGGATTCATATTCTAACTATGTAAACTATGGATTAGTTATTGATTCAATGTATTTATTAGATCCTTGAGAACAGCACTCCAATCTCAAGAGTGTTGCTTCTAAGATGGCACCTTTACTGATCTTTCAAAAGGACAATACAATATTCCATTAGGCTGATGGCTTCTGGGTGACATATGTCTGAAGATATATGATATATGTCTGATATATAACTGAAGAACCCATTACTATACCTCCTTTTCCATAAAATTTGTCTCTGTTTTGAGGTACAACTATGTCTGAAGCAGTCTGACATAGTGGGCAATTTGCAAGCCCTCAGATGGTGGTCCTGGCTGAGGAACTTCAGACAGAGAAGGATAATTCATATCCATAGCAGGTATCAATGCTAATGAGGATGAATGCCTATTTCCTCCAAAGTACGTAGGGCTAATAAAATCATAATAATATAATATAATCATAATATAACATAATCCCTCATAGAATAACCATAATATAATATTTCACATAGTAATCATAATATAATCTCTCACAAGTGGCTGGCCATTCTAACAGGGGTGCCACCTCAAGGGCACAATGCTGCTATGTCTCTGCTGCTATTGGGTTAAACAGTCAGCACCATCAGGACCTTAATCAACCTTGGAAGGAGAGATAAACCTTGGACCTGTCAATATCCCTGTTCTGTCTCTGTGATCACACTCTTCTGAGCATGGTTCATTGTCCTAGCACTTTGTGGTCAGGAAAAAAACTCTGCCAGGCACCTACAGGTGGCATTACTCCTCTTTGGGAGTTTATGTGTGTCCATTCATACCAGTGCTCAGGCCCAGAAATCTCTCTTTAGCGAGTATGAGCTTTCCCTTGGTTTATAGTGGCAGGGACAGCAGTGACCATGAGAATGCTGAGCAGACACTAAAGCAACTCCAGCCTAAAAGCAAAGCAGTCAATAAAAGGTGTGATCCAGTGGAAAAGAAATCAATATACTGAAGAGTTATCTGTACTCCTGTATCCACTATAGCATTTTCACAACAGCCAATATGGAATCAACCTAAGTTGTCCATCAGTGAATGGACGAATAAAGAAAATGTGAAACATTTATCCAAAGGAATGCTACTCAGATTTAAAAAGATGAAAATTCTGTCACTTGCAATAACATGGATGAACCTAGAGAAGATAAGGAAAATAAGTGAGACAAAAGACAAATACTGCGTGGTCACACTTTCGTGTGGAATTTTAAAAGTCATTTCTCAGAAGTAGAGAGCAGAATGGAAGCTTACCAGCAGCTGGGGAGGCTGTGGAGGAGTGTTGAGGAATATTGAGGAAAATGCTGGTCAAAAGAAACAAAATTGCAGTTAGACAGGAAGAAAAAAATTTGAAGGTCTATTGCACAGCACAGTGACTGTAGTTAATGAAGTTGTATAGGGCTGGGGATTTAGCTCATTGGTGACTCCGCCTGCCTCAAAGGTGCAAGGTCCCGAATTCAATCCAAGGTACCAAAAAAATAAAATAAAATAAAGTTGCATATTTCAAAATTGCTTTTAAAAAAGTACATTTTAAATGTTCTCACCACAAAAAAATTATAAGCATATGAGAGTTTAGATATGTTATTTGCTTGACTTAATCATTTCACATATTTCAAAATAATTGTTCCCTAAATCTATGTAATTATTATTTGTAAATTAAAACTAATTTTTATTTTTAAAGACTAATTTTACTTTGAAACTGTTTAAACCATAGGTAAAATTTGGTCAACTTTAAATTAAAAATATATCCTTTTAAGTGGATAATCAGATTCCCCACACATATATGCATGCACAGGAACACAAAAATCATACATACATCACAAAGACCCCATGAGAAAATCACTAAATTACAAAAGGAGTTGCCCATTAAATAAAATTGAGATCTAATGTTAGCCTCACAACTTTTTCTCCCTACCTACCTGTTAGGGCTGTGTCTGGATGTCTCCCCAAAGCCTCATGCAGTCATGGGGTGGCTGGTCAGAGGTGGCTGAATCTGCAGTGTGTGATTAATTCATGGTGCAATGCTAGGATTAAGGGTGGGTGATTACCTAATCCACTTACGTGGCACTCCCCCCATCCCAGTACCCTGGATACAACATGGGGCACAGAAAATGACTTATCTGCTCTCTTGCTTGCTTTGCTACCTTCTGCTCACTATGAACTGCTTCTCTTCTGCAAAACCTGTCTGCCATGCCACCTTGCCTTGGAGGCAGGAGATTGTGGACTGAAACCTCTACAAACTGTGAGCTAGATAAAACTTTCCTCCTTTAACTTTGGGAGTCAGGCATGTTGTCTCAGCAACAAAATAACAGTGACTATGGGCTGGGAATTTGGCTCAGTGGTTCCGCTGCCTGACTTGCAAGCACAAAGGCCTGAGTTCGATCCCTGGTCACACACACACACACACAAAAAAAAAAATAACAGTAACTAAGACATAGCACACTGCACTGTCAATCTTGACACAGCTTTTAAATTTGCTCCCTTCAGCTAACCCCAGAAAAAGGGACAATAACTGGAGGCAATACCTCATACAAATTGTTGTCCCACTTTACTCTCCTCCTTTTCCACTTCTTCATATACCTTCTTCACTCTCTCTTCCCTTCTACTATCCCTACACCTGCTCA